GACAGATAATTTTATAGAACCAGAGGCCTGAAAAGCCCAAACTACCTGAAGAAAAAATTAATGATAGGTAAAATGGAGATGGGTATGTGCTTCCTAGGCTTATACGAACTTTTATTTTTCCTTTATTTATTTATTTGTTTCTTACTTTTTCGCGTTTCTTGCCCTTCTTCTTTAACAGGCATTCCCTGTAAAAGGAGAGAATACTTAAGGATGATTTAAAATGGGTTGAGATTTTTCGAAATTTATTTTTTAAAGTCGGCGATAAAACAGATAGCCTACATGAAGCCAAGCCAAGCCAAGCCCTCCTTTTTCTTTCATGATAATCTCCCTTTTCACTGTCCCTTGACATGATATTTTAAAACGGATGCACAAAATTTCTAAACCTTAGAAAAAAAAACATTTTCTTCGAGATTAGTAAAATATGCTGCTAGCCTTGTCTTATCCTATAAACGGTATATACACGGGGTTACTGGACTGACCGCTTGACAAGTGCATAAATTTGCTTTTGTTTTTTTTTTTGTTTTTTCTCTCGTCTGCTATCTTTTGGCTTTGATACATATATTGCCAGTCAAAGGTGATGCGGGAGGTAGATTTGTCTCTGATGGTAGAAGTCCAGTGTTTTTTTGTTTTTTTTTGACATTATTGCTTGCATTGTGAATCGTTTGTAGGTTTTAACTTTTGCAACACTGCCATTTACCGTTTTTGTTTTACAACCTGAACGCCTAACCTTGCAAGTTCTCATCCATTCTTGCTCTTTCATTGTCTGTCTCTCACTCCCTTTCACTCTCTCTTCCTTTCCCTCTCCCTCCCACTTCCCTTCTCTCACTCCCTTTCCCACACCCTCCTCCTTTATTCCCTTCCCCTCTTCCTTGCTCTCACATCCCTTCCTTCTTTCCCTTTCCTAACCTCTCCCCCTCCTCCTCCTCCCTCCCTCCCCTCCCCTATTCTCATCTGTTCCCTCCTCCTTCCTCCCCCCCTTTCCCTCCCTCACCCCCCATTCTTATCTGTCCCTCCCTTCCCCCACCCCATTCCCCCCCCTCCCCCACCCCATTCTCATGCATTCACCCCCTTCCTTCCTTCCCTCCTCCTCCCCTCACCGCCATATTCGGTTCCCTCCCTCCCCCCCCCCCATTCTCACCGGCCCCCCCTCCCCCGCCCCATTCTCATGCATTTCCCTCCCTCCCCTCCCTCCCTTCCTTCCCGCACCTCTCCCCTCCCCTCCCGCCCCATTCTCATGCATTCCCTCCCTCCCTTCCTTCCCAACCCTCCCCTTCCCCTCCCTCCCTCCTTCCCTCCCTTCCTTCCCGTCCCCTCCCCCTCCCCCTCCCCCTTCTTCCTCCCGCCCCATTCTCATTCATTCCCCCCCCTCTGTCCTCAGCGGCCTCGTCCTGCGCCAGATCAGCCACCACCGGCATCTTCTCACCCTCATCTACGTCGGCGAGGTGACGGACCGGATCAGCGTGGATGGCCTCTCGCTCAGGGACTGCGAGCTCACGTCGGAGGAGGAGGAGGTGGAGAAATTCCTGCGCGGGTTCAGGGAAGATGCGGAGCTCGCTATGGACACGCCGCCGGTATGTATGTCTGCGTGTGATGTTTTTTTGTCTGCTTTTTTTTTCACTCTCTGTCTGTCTGTCTGTCTCTGTCTGCCTGTTTGTCTGTCTCTCTGTCTCTCTGTCTCTCTGTCTCTCTGTCTCTCTGTCTGTGTCTCTCTCTCTCTCTCTCTCTCTCTCTCTCTCTCTCTCTCTCTCTCTCCATAATCGTTTTTCTCTCTTCCATGTTAGGTTTGTATTTGGTAGTCCTTCCTACTCGTTCCCTTTCGTGTTTTCCTTCGAGTGTATTTCTATGATTTACAAAGGAATGTGAATTATTAATATTTATTATTTTTTACAATTGGCCCATCGATATATCAACATATACTATATAGATGTATATGTATCTTCACAATTCGTCTACTCGTTTGTCAACAGGGTCTTGGGCCGGACCTCTTCATAATATATCATTTGTACACCTGTCCGAGGAGGCTGAACTGCCGGAGTACCTGAGGCCTGTCGTTCACTTCCGGCAGCTGAGAGCACAGGTCAGTCAGCACACAAGTTTCTCCAAAGTTTTCCGGTTACATGATGATTATTACTCTTTTATATTGATATAATTATTGTCTGCGTTATGAATTTTACCCGTATTTTACCTCAGTAATCTTAGGAACGATCAATAAACTTTATATCCGAGACAAAGCTGTGACGACCCACTCTGACACCGCCTGGGTTTCCCCCCTGTCTCCCACAGTGCAAGGACCACCACCGCCGCGTCCGGGCCGGGGTGAAGGCGGAGAGGCGGTCCCACAAGAGCCACGGAGCCGCCAGCGCAACGCGAGACGAGAACAGCGACCTCGGAGTCTCCCACGCCAGGTAAAAAAAAAAAAGAAAAAAAAAATCAAAGTGCATTTTTTTTCTGCGGTGTTGCTATCTGCCGCCGCCTCCTGTGCATTTGTGCGACATCGTGTTTTAAATGGGATTTGTCACTGCATGGAAGGTTTCATTTTCTGTTAAATCAGTTTAAAAAAGGATATTTTCCTGTATTTTAAATGTGTGTCCTTTATTGTTAATATAGGTTACATGTCTGGCATGTAATCTCAAAAGCTTCTAGTCTATATTGTTAAATGAAAAAAAAGTCACAATATATACATAGCTAAATGTTTTGGGTGCTTAAACTGTCTCTTTACATCTGTCCTAAGTGCACGTAGTTTGTAGACATTCATAAACATATATTTTTTTAAATGACGCCGAGCCTGAACCTGGGTTCTATGTCACTATAGTTCATGAACCAGGTAGCTAGTTATCGTAGCTCCTGGTACATGAACTAAAGAAAAAAAACAAATGGTTCCTCATACACCAGGGAACAACACCGAAGTTCCTGGTGAATGAGCGACCAAACAGAAATAATGATACCGCTTCTTTCACAACATCTGTACTCTCTTATCTTGCCTATAATCTCCCTCCCCCCCTTTCATTAGTCACTGGAGATCCCAACCCATATTCCCTGTGGCACTCTTTCCCCCCCTGAGTGCCACGTGGGGGCCATGGCTTGTAGCTCTGGTTGTCTGTCGCTGTAGTGTTGGCGAAGGGCGTAGCGCACCGACGGCGGGGCCTCTCGCGCCGTCGGGATCGTGTCATTTTTCGTTTTGGATTGGATTACATGTCGAAATTATTCATGGAAAAAGAACGGAAAGAAAAAAAAATATGAGCTATCAATTTGCTCTTTCCGATTAATAAATTTGCTTCTTGTGAAAAAAGAAATATATATATATATATGCTTTAATTTAGGCTGCAGCAAAAGCTGTAATGCTTTCTGTAATGCTTCATCATTCAGATTTCACTAATAACTCAGAATATCAATTTGTGGTGATTGGTAACTGAAAATATCTCTTAACTGAAAATATCTCTTGACTATATGTTCACGAAAAGGTGTCAGTAATTTTCTTTAAAACTCACTGCTTTTAAAACTCACTGTCTTTTTTTACCTTACTAAGTGAGATTGCTATTTTTTACCTTATTTTAATAATAGAATATTCATTGTTGCTGGCGTTTTGATCTAACTTTTTCGACTATGACACCTAAATGCTTATTTTAACATACTCGGCTCTTCATTTTTTTCTTTTTATGAATTCTTAATGGCTTTACTTTCCTTTTATTTTCTTTACCTTCTTTCACAAAATACTGCATGTTTTTTGTTGCATGACACACGTTTGAATTGATTGATTTGGACTGATTAAACCATTCATGCCTGTAAACATAACTTTGTGTTTAGTAATGTCTCATGATTCGTTATGTTGTGTCCTTTTTTTTTGTTTTGTTTTCTGTGCTTTGTAAACCACCTTCAGTAGTCTGCACTTAGCCTGGCAGAGACACCTTGTAGTAGCTGTAGTTTTTTTTTGCTTGTCTCAGTTGATTTTATTGCTTGGGAAACAGATTGGTGCCTTTTTTTTGACTCGCATTTCGATGACGTGGTTCTGCTTGTGGGTTGCTAGTTTTGCCTCCGTTTGAAACCACCTGCACTGGAACACTTGCACTGGAACACTTGCACTGGAACACTTGCACAACACAAGGACCAGTATTGGAACACCACCATGAGTATAACCACATTGCCAACACACTCAAAACAACTTAGTAATAATGTAGTCATACAACACGGACATCTTAGTGCAGCACGTCTGATTAGCACTAGTACTATAGACTTTGATACCAACACCAACACTCCACAAAGTCTGCACCAGAACCCGTTGACAACAGCACCTGCCATCAGCCACCACTCTCCCCCGCTAGAATTGTGGTTTAGCACCGTCACATACCCTAGTAAGCCTTGTTGTAGAAGTTAAGACCCAATATAGATAAAAGTATTAGTTTTCATTTCGTGTTTTTACCTGTAGCTTTCATTATTAATTTTAATATTATTTTATTATTTGTGATTTTAGTAAGCAGTCCCCTTTAGCTTGTCTATGCTTCATTTTTTTCTCGTTAATAGATATGTAGTGTAGTTAGAACGAATTTATATTTTTTTTAGTGTAGGGCAACGTTAGAGTAAGAGGCTTCGCGTTTGGGGTGGCGGTGCGAGGGGTGGTTGATGTGCGGGCGTCGGTTGCTGTGCCCCGCGCTTTTGCCGTGGGCGTCTGTGTTTTTTGCTTTGGTGTTTGGGTGTGTCACATAGCCTTTTTGAAATATGAACGCCTGTCCCCCATGACGAGCTGGTTGAACAGCGGAAAGTTGGTTGTGTTGACTCAGGCAGAAGCGGTGGGTGCTGAACGAGCTTCTCATCTTGCCCGGGACCCACTGGTGCGGCAACGAAGACATGGCCAGCTCCTACAGCGACCTCTCGGGCTTCGTGGGCGCCGACTCCTGCTGCCGCACCCACGACATGTGCCCCGTCAACATCCACGGCCTCACCCGCAAGTACGGCATCTACAACTCGCGCCTCACCACCATCTCCCACTGCGCCTGCGATGAGAGGTAAGGAAGGAAGGGAGGCGTTCGTCCCTCGTCCGAAGGAGAGCGTTGTTCTTGGCTTAGGAAAGAGTAGATTTTCTCCTGGCGCCTTTTGGGTGTCGTGTTGGGAACAGCAGATAGTGTTCGATGCTCCGTTGTGTGGGATTCGTTGTGTCTTCCGGTTTAGACGCTTCTGAAGTCTTGCCTTTCGCTCCCGGTTGGTTTGCCAGTCAAGGTTTGCAAAGTCCACCCCCCTGTCCCTATCACCCTCCTCTGACCAGTCTTCAGGCAATGAAAAGAGAGACAATGTGTGTAAAGAAGCCGACCGGACGCGTGCGACGTCCAGGGGAAGAAGCACCCAGGTTCAGACGAGGGGTCGAGCGCGCGTCCTCAAAGCCCGTCCCTCACCCCGGCACGCTATTCCCGCTCGACGCAGGTCTCGGCGCTCGGTCCTCGACAGCCTGAGGTTCCCGGCGACCAAGTGGTGCGGCGTGGGTTACTCGGCGTCCGTGTACGGCGAGCTCGGGGGCGAGTCCAGCACGGACATGTGCTGCCGGCAACACGACCTCCATTGCCCGTACTACGTCACCTCCTTTGAAAAGAAATACGGGATCGTGAACTGGGGAATTGGCACCATTAACCACTGCGCCTGCGACGAGAGGTGAGTATTGTGACGTGTAGAAGATGGTGATGATGAGAAAGAGCATGTTGATGTGGTAGGCATGGTGACACGAGGATGGTGAGGAGAACGGGCATGTTGATGTGGTAATTAGGATGTGATGTGATGTCATATTTAGTGTAATTCTGTATAATTTCTGTTATTGAGGTCATTGGTACCTAGATATTTGGTCTGCATGTTTTATAGTCTGGATGTGGAAAATTATATTGCTCCGATGTTTTTTAGTTTTTCATCGTTGCAAATGCTACAGTTCAAAGATTGCATCGGAAATTGCTTGTGTTTTAGAGAGAAACGTTGCAGTGTATTTCCATCGGCAATTTCGTCGCGCAATCCATTGAATAAGGATCAGAGACCGATTCAAATCTTGCTTTCAATTCCGCGTTGGTCACGACTCCAGTTTTCTTCTCATAATAGGAACGTAATGCCAAAATAAAAAAACAAATACAAAATAGATTAGACAAAAAAAAAAAAAAAAAAAAAAATCAGAAAAGGCAGAGTCATGCACAATTATCCAACGCGGATCATCCATTTCTGCTAAAACGGATTCCACGCACACGACCTTTTGCAACTATCAACGCAGACCACATTCTTGCATCACTTTGCCGTGCCGTTGATGTCCTTGTGAAGGTCTATAGTGTAGAAGACGTGCCAAGTCTGTCTAGCATGGTATTAGAGGGTGCAGCAGTGCTAGGTTACAAGTCTGCCGTGTTAGGGCTTGCAGCTGCCAAGAGAGAGAGAGAGAGAGAGAGAGAGAGAGAATAGATGGGTAAAAACATTCGGTTGAGGTGAGTGTCTGCATTTTCGCTTATTCATTATTGTCGTGTTTTTTTTTTTATATGTTTAAGATCTGAGTATTTTTTTTCCTTTTTTCTCCTGGTATAATAATGGTTATGACCAAATACTCCGGTACTTCTCAGTATCCCATAACACCCCGTCATGCTGAATACCATAGATCACTCATGTTTGATTCTGACATGCCATAGAAAGAAAAGTAGGAAAATCAAATACAGTTAGTTTGGCCAGTAAGAAGTCCGCGGGAGGGGTTGCCAACTGGTCTATTTGCAACGTCACCTGTTGTAGTGGTCCGACGATGGCGTGATGTGTGGGGGGGGGGGGGAAAGTGGGGAGGCTAGTCGGGGGGGAAACTCAGCAATGAGGGGGCAGGGGAGAGAAGGGAAAGGGGGAGAGGGGGGATAAAAGAAGATAGCGTATGAATAGGATTTTCTTCCCCCACCGGAATTCGGGCCGCAGGTTGTTCACTTGCCGGGAAGTGACTGCCGACAAGGGAATTCAAATCCTTTATTTTTCCCAATCACTTGCAACAACGGTTAAGAGATTCGAAGTTCACGAAACGTAGTTCACGGGAGATGAAAACAGAAAAAAGAGAATGCGAAAGGAAACGCCGGATAAGGATGGAGGGGAAAAAGGAGGGAGTGAATAAGGGAAGTTAACCTGGGCGCCAGTATCTGCGTCCGGCCAGCGAGGGCACCGGATTCGAGATATGCAGACGGAGGCCATTTTAGTGATGACTCCGAGCGGTCAAAGTGGCTGGCCTGGAGGATTTATATTAATCGTTGGTAGCCAGGGAAGAGAGAGAGAGAGAGAGAGAGAGGGAGAGGGGAGAGAGAGAGAGAGAGAGAGAGAGAGAGAGAGAGGAGAGAGAGAGGAGAGAGAGAGAGAGAGAGAGAGAGAAGAGAGAGAGAGAGAGAGAGGGAGGGAGAGAGAACAAGATAAAGAGAGAGAAGGGCAGAGAGAGAGAGAGAGAAAGAGCAAGATAAAGAGAGAGAGAGAGAGAGAGCATGAATCAAAGCTGTGGATGAAAGTATGCCGGAGAGCTAGAAGTGTAGACAGGCAGAGACCGAAACCATAACCGAAAGGCAGATGACGCTAAAGATGAAGGGGAAGGAAGGAAGGCGAGAAGGGAAGGAAGAGGGAAGGAAGCGAGAAGTAAGGGAAAGGAAGGCGAGAGAAGTAAGGGGAAGGAAGGCGAGAAGTAAGGGGAAGGAAGGCGAGAAGTAAGGGGAAGGAAGGCGAGAAGGAAGGGGAAGGAAGGAAGGAAAGGAAGGCGAGAAGTAAGGGGAAGGAAGGAGGAAGGAGGGGAGGAAGTAAGTAGGAGGAGGGAAGGAAGAAGGAAGGCGAGAAGGCGAGCCACTCACTGCAGTTCACCGGACACGTCGGCGTGCGAGTTCCTGCTGAGATTTTAGATTATTCACCGTCTGACCTCGACCTCTTTCATACAAACACGCACACACACACACACGCATACACACATACACACATACACGCACATGCACACATACACACACGCACGCTCATATACACACAAACACGCACATGCACACGTACATGCACGCACGCACGCACATACACACGCACGTACATACACACGCACGCACATACACACGCACGTACATACACACGCACGTACACACGCACGCACATACACGCGCACGTACATACACACGCACGTACATACACATGCACACATACACATGCACACATACACATGCACACACACGAAAGAAGAAAGGTGGGAGAGAGAGAGAGACAGAGAGACAGAGAGAGAGAGGGGAGAAAGCGAGATGAGAATATTAATTTCCTAGTGACCGCGGTAACTAAATCTTCACTAGCCTTCAGGTGCATAGGTAGCCTAGAAGGCTTATTTTTAGAACCCCTTCGAGTGCTCAAGGCGAAGGGTTTTTTCGCCGTCCTGGGTTGGGGCAGGGAGGGGGCTGGGGGAAGGCCGGCAGGTAGGGAAGGGAGGGAGGGAGGAGGGGGAAAAGGGGAGGGAGGAGGGTGAAGGGGAAAGGGAGGGGGGGAGGAGGGGGGGGTAAGCGGAGGGAGGGGTGGACGGGGGAAGGGGAAGGAGGGGAGAGGAGGAAAAAGGGGGAACCCGCAGGAATGTCGAGGCGGCGGGCGAAGTGTGTCCCGAGCGGCGCTTTCCGATTGGTCCGCCGCGCCACTTCCGCCGCGCCCATTGGCCGACCGCGCTCACACACCCGTCCTTCGGCGCTTCTGATTGGTTCCGCCGTCCTGTCTGAAGGATGGCGCTTTGATTGGTCGGAAAATTTCTCTCCGTCTGTGATTGGTCGTTTGAGAGTGGTACGATTCCCGCCGGCGATTCTTGGCGCCAGCGTCTCTCGCCTTTGCGGTTGTATTTCCCGGTGGATGGGGAAGGGAGCAAGGGGTAGACCCGCGGGAAGGGAAAGAAAATCAGGGACTTGGCAAATCATTAGAATCTTCGGTGGGTTTCTGTTTCCTATTAATAGCGTTTCTGTGCCTTCGACCTCTTGGCCCACTCTTTAATTAAGTTCACTTCTCGTCCCTCCAAGTCGCCCCCCCCCCCACCCTAACAGATCTCCGCAACTTTACGATTAATCATCAGTGCTCGTATTCCATTTTCCTCAGTACCCCATTTCTATCCCTTTCACTTCTTCTCTCCCACCTTTTTTTCCTCCCATTCCCCCCTTCTTCCTCCTCCCCTATTCCAAAATCGCCCCCCCCCCACATCAGATATCTGCCACTTTACACTTAATGTATTATCATTCGTGCTCATATTCCATTTTCCTCTGTACCCCATTTCTATCCCTTTCACTCCCTCATCTCCCACCCTTTTCCTTCCTCCCCCCCTTCCCTTCTTCCTCCTCCCATTCCCCCCTTCCCTTCTTCCTCCTCCTCTCCTCCCCGCTTCTTCCTCCCATTCCTCCCCCTTCTTCCTTCTCCTCCCCTTCCTTCTTCCCATCTCTCACCCTTTCTCCTTCCTCCCATTCTTCCTCCCCCCCTTCCCTTCCCCTCCCTTCCTCCTCCCTCTCCTTCCCTTCTCCCTCCCTCCCCCCTTCCCTCCTCCTCCCCCTTCCCTTCTTTCTCCCCCTTCCCCCCCTTCCTCCCCTTCCCAAAGTGGTCGGGACAGTCCACTCGCTCTGGCCTCCTCCCTGGTGCATTCCCCCTTCATTACCGCCGTGAAGCCCAAGTGAAGCCTACCGAACCGTGAGGCTCACTAGCGCAGCCTTCGTTACCGTTGTTATTTGGGACGACCGAGGAGTGGGGGGGGGAGGGGGGAAGCCTACTGTCTGTGTGTGTGTCTGTCTGTCTGTCTGTCTGACTTGTTCACTCGTTCCTTTCTTTCAGCCATTTTTTTTTTCTTTTTTTCTTTGCTTTCCACAATCTTTCTACTTTCTGACCTTTGTCCCTGTCGGTTCAATTATCCTTTCCCCCATTACTCTCCTTATCGTTTTTTTTCCTTCTCGCTTCCCCTTCCTTGCCCGATCATTTTCACTTTCCCCCCCCCCTTCATTTCTTCCTTTTCTGTTTCCTCTTTCTCCCCTCCCCCCCCCCCCCGTTTGCC